TTACCAAAATATACGTAATTGCACACTGAGATGCTAAACCCCATAGTACATAAGCTATACTTAATGATAAATGGCACTTTTTTAAAAATAGACTTCTTTATTGTCATCTTTTGTCCAAGCGTGCGTGTGTGTGTGTGTGTGTGTGTGAGTTTGTGTGCACCATGTATACCCAATGACTAGAGTTACAGATTGTTGGGAACTGTCTCCTACGGGTGCTAAAACCTGAACCCAAGTCCTCTGAAAGAGTATTAAATGGTCTTAAGCACTGAGCCATCTCTCTAGCCCAACGCTCCTTTTAAAAGATATAGACTTTTTATTTTATGTGTATTTTGACTGAATGTATGTAAGTATTCAGTGCCTAATGAGGTTGGAAGAAAATGTCAGGTCCCCTGAAATTTAAGTTACAGGCAATTGTGAAGCAACTATGTGGGTGCTGGGACCTGAACCCAGCTCCTCTGCAAGATCAATAAGATCCTAGCCAGGTTTCTAGCCCCCAGTCCTAGCCCCTTAAAAGAAGTGAAAGTTTCCTGGGAACACGGCGAGCCTGGAGAGGAAGGTAAGTGTTTGTCATTATGCTACATAGTCTCAAGGTCTAATAAATACTGGTAGTTCCCAAAGAAAAGAAGCCTTGGACAGCATCATCCCCAGATCCTAGGTTCATATCCACTAGCAGCCTGAGTTGGCAGTACACACATGACCCTTAGCACTTGGGGAGAGGGGGAGAGGGGGAGAGGGGGAGATACAGCAGGCCACTCTGTGGGCAGCACAGAGGCTAAGGACAAGCCGAGTGGTTTATTCCTGAAGCTGCAGTCACACACACACCCCTTGCCCAGTTAATTATCTGTCTGCTGATTCATGACTTGTGGTTCCTGTGGGCATGCTTCCTGGATGTTTCTGCCAACAAGGGAAGGATTCTTGCAGCTGGAGGAGATGATAAACAGAGAGCCAAGGAGGGCGGGGAGCTGCAAAGGAAGAGTTTGTATCGAGAGTTCTAGAGTCGCATTCAGATCCCCCTCCTCACTCCACTTCCTTGTCCCATCAGATGCTCTTCCAAGGACACAAATGTCACTTGTGCTCACAAACTTGAGGGGAAGAACAGAAAATATTGTTCTAGTGATTCCCCCAAAGACAGGGAAAAGGGAGACACTTCAGAGGATCCCATGTGTTCTGTCATCTTCTGATCAGGGGATGGACATCAGAGCAAAGGTCCAAATGGCTGGGGTTGTGGTTTAGTATCGAAGCACATTTAGTGTGCACAAAATCCTAGGTTCCATTCTCAGCAAAACACAAACACACACTCACACAGAGACACACACTCTCATACACACACAGAGAGATACACAGAGACACACATACACACAGAGAGACACTCTCACAGAGACACACATTCACACACACACACATCCTCTCACACACCCTCAAACACTCACATACACTCACTCACACAGACACAAACACACACAAACACACACAGAGACACTCTTACAAACACATACACTCACACATACAGTATCTCTCTCTCCACACACACACACACACACACACACACACACACACACACACAGAGGGGTGGAGGATCAGGTAGAACACCCGAGGCTACAAATGTGTAAATATTAGATATTCACATATAGAGACATCATGTCTAGGTGCCTTCTTATACCGTTCCCTACATAATTCTTTTATGGCCTGTGTGCCAAGCACCGGGCACAATGTTGAACAAAATATACATTTTGCTCTCCCTGTAGAGACTGAAGTCTTATGTGTGGGTTTTACCACCCTCTCGATTCAAAGTTGAGACTCGGAAAAAAAAAATGAATGTGTGGACATCTCTCCTCCTGGGCCTTCTCTGTAGATTCTTGCAGGTCCTGAGGGCTGAAATATGCCAAGCTACCACAGAAGAACAGGATGAATTAAGAGGCTGTGAGAGCTGAAGTCTCAGCTGGGAGCCTGGACCACACTGATGCATTAAGCAGCAACAGCTCTGGTCTGTAGTCCATGGTAGACAACCTAATGACAACAGGAATCACCATGCATGGAACACAGGAATCACCACACATGGAACACAGCAATCACCATTCATGGAACACAGGAATCACCACACATAGAACACAGGAATCACCACACATAGAACACATCAATCACCATACATGGAATACAGGAATCACCACACATAGAACACAGCAATCACCATACATGGAACACAGGAATCACCACACATGGAACATAGGAATCACCATGCATGGAACACAGGAATCACCATGCATGGAACACAGGAATCACCATGCATGGAACACAGGAATCACCATGCATGGAACTGTTCATTTGAGCCTTTGTCTCATTTAGTCTGCAAACGAGAGTCACTATTTTTCTCCATTTTACAGGTGAGGAAACCAGACTAAGATATTAGGTAATTTGATAAGATCACATGGTCAGTTGGGGCAAAGCAGAGGATCAAACCTACATCCTGCCTGCTTAAATCCCAGCTGTCCCTTTTCCCAGCAAAAAGCCTGTCCTCATGTCTCCAGGCCCCTAGGATTCCTGAAAAGAGCTTTAGTTGGACAGTTCCCAGAATACAGACTCTAGAAGAGGACCAAGCACCTCCTCCTGGCTGACCTAGTTAGGTTAGAACGCCCACTACAATAGGAGGAAGCCTTGAAACAAAGTATTCAGATGAAGCTAAAAAGATTCTCTTTGTAGATAGAAACTGAAAGTCAGCGTCTCCTCAGAATCTCCTACTCCAACAGCCCTTCTGTGGCACCTCACTCCCACCCTGTCCTGTGTCCCTTCAATACTGTGTGTCCCCAAGTCACCTCACCATCTCCTTCCCCAGGGACCTAGTGATGTTTGCAACTCTGCCACCAACCCTGAGATGGCGTGTGAGTATGACAGACACTTCTTTTACAGGATGCTCTAGAATCCTCTGTTCCTCAACAGGACTCCACACTCTCTCAGAGAGAGTCAGAGGCTAGCTTACGACAAGCCACCACCTCTCTAGATTATTCCAGTCCCAACAAATCTATAATCAGAAATCCTAAAGGTTTCATTGCTTGTTTGGTTTGGTGCGTATATGCATGTGTACATGTATGTACATGTACATGCATGTTCATGCACAATTGTCCCTGGGCAGAAACCGAAAGACAACTTTGGATGTCGTTTCTCAGAAATATCACCTTTTTTTTTTTTTGTGACAGGATCTCTTTCTATCCTGAGCTTCCCAAGTAGGCCAGGCTAGCTCCCTAGTGAGTCCCAAGGATACATTGTTTCTGTCTCCCCAGCACTGGAATGACAAGCACACCACTACACCAGGCTTTTTAAATAAGTTCTGGGGACAGAATTCAGGTCGTCCTACTTTCCCAGCAGTCTCCTCATCTCCCCCATCTTTAAGGGATCTTTAAACCCAGGCTTAGGTATACCAGGGCAGTGTGATCCTATATGGAGCATTGCAAACCAGTGAGGGGTCCAGGAGAGGTGGGAAGAGAGTGAGAGACCAAAATAAGAGATGCACTTCATCTTCACTGGAGCCTAACTGTGCACTGTGCTGCCTGTGCGCTATCTGTCAACTCAGTACCTCTCGAACTACAGATGATGGTGATGATGATGGTGATAATGGTGATGATGATGATGATGACACTCAGAAGTTAATTTGAAAGTTATAGATACACACAAACCACAAAGTGTTTAAAATACAATCTCAAAATAGCTGAGACTAACTGGAAGATGCCTAACACAAAGCATACTAGCTATCTCTCGTACAGTGTATCTGCTATCTGTGAATACACTTTCAGGCTGTACTTAAGCCTGGCCTGTCATTACATGCCAATTAAAAAATGAGAAGGAGACATTTTTAAAAGGTTTCAAGTTCATGAAAGTTAGCCTATCTGTTAGAAACATCAGCTTTCCTGGTCCATTTCCCCATTCCCCATCAACAGCTACCAGCAGCTGACAGAGACTGCAATATCTCCAGGGCAGAATGCCGGAGATCCTGGTTGCTGTTCTGTGGTCACAAAACTTGTTCAATGTAGGCTAAAGGCCACAGTTGTCACCTTTCACTTGGAAGTGTCTACAACAAAGGACAGCCGTCAGTTCTCCACTGAACCCCCTTTCCTGTCCCATGTCTGTATTCATTTGTACCACAGTAAGGAGGTCTTGAAGGCAGCCACCAAAATATTTTTGGATTACTTAACCTCAGAGCAAACTTAACAAAATTTACCTTCAACAAATAGTCCATCTGGGTCTGGAGACGTAGCTCAATTAATAAAGTGCTTGCCTGCCATGAGGAACAAGTCCCTAGAGCATATAAGCCCTGAGAGGTGGTACATATCTGTAAATCCTAGCACTCAGTAGAAGAGACACAGGGGAGTCTGAAGTTCACGGTCACCCTCGACCATACAGTGTGAAGTTTCCTGAAATATTTGAGACTGTATTACACACACACACACACACACAATCTTCAGGATTTAACTTACTCCACCTCCAGCAACATCACCTCCAGCTCCCCTAGGGCTCTGCGGACTGGATGACTCCCCTTCCCTGAAGCCTTAGTGGGCCTGAAAGCTGCCGATGCAGGCAGCTGATGCTGTGAGCCGCAAGGAGGAGAGACAAAGCCAGCCCCAAGGACCTCTGTGCTGACTCCCAGCACACAGTCAGGGAGTGCTGGGTGAGAGGTCGGTCCCAGAAGGGACAGAGCCCCTGCTCCTCCTTTTTGAGTGGAGCGGCCAGAAGAACAAACTCGAGGGGATGTAGACAAGCCGCACTCAAGAGAAAGGGGCAACCCAGAGTGCACACACCCACCCAAGCAGGTGAGCCGCATCTTTCTGCCAGCGCACTGGAACGGCCCAGCGGAGCCCCATTTTGCCTCTGCTACCCGGGCCAGACCAGGATCTCCGCCACCAGAGAAGCGCCCTCGAGGCCACGGGAAGAAGGATCCGCCCCCCACACCTCAGCTTCTTAAGCTCTGGTTCCCACTGTCCCACCGCAGTTCACGTAGCCCCTTCGCTCACCTCCGATGACAACGCCCGCCAGCGCCCCCAGCGCCAGCAGAGCGGCCCAGAGCTGTCCCGGCCACCGCGCTTGCATCCTGTCCGCTGTCCTTCACGCTGTGCGCGCGCCACGGCGAGCCTGGAGCCCACGGCTGCTTTTCCTGCTGCGGGAGGGGAGGGAAGAGGAGGGGAGGCGACTGGGTGGGTGGGACACAGCGGGGCGGGTCAAGTGCTCGCGCTCCCTCCCTCCGGCCCCTGTCTGGACCCGGCCTGAGGCTGAGTGTGATGGGGAAACTGCGTGCCTCTCTTCAGAACCTTCCCCAGCCCTCCACCCACAAGGACTCGCCCGCGTTCCCTAGAGGCGACCGCGCCCCCGTGGGTCCTGTGTGCATCTGGGTCCCAGGTGTCTGCGGCTGGGTGCTTGGTTTAAAAAAAAAATATAGTAGCCTTGAGCCATTTCCTGAATTCTGCTAGTCCCACCTCCGCAGAGACACCAACACTGCTATTTCACTTCGCTGGGCTCACTTTGCTTTCCTCCAGTTTTTATTCTTTCCCTCGTCACTCAATGAGTTAACAGGCAGCTATCAAATGCTCTCCGTGCAGCCGCTTGACAGTACCACACCTGCAGCTTGTGTTCGGCAAGATGGATCTGTGCAGAGCTCTGTCTTGCTTGCACGTAGCGGGTGTCTGAGAACATTTCCGAACAGTCACTGTATTGCCTCCAAACTCAAATTAACTAGCGTTGTGGTATTTCTCTCAGAGATTACTTGCCTGCTGTTCCTATCCCCTATACTAGTTTCCTTGGGTCTCCCCTAGATGGGAAACCTCTAGAAGTGCAAAAAGGTGCGAGATGCTGGAGCTGAAGAGGTCATAGGAAGTGTCTGGGCCTGTGCATCCTGACGCAAGAATGGTAGTGTTGTAAGAAAAATTAAATCTAGGGCTGGCGATGTGGTGCAATTGGAAGAGCACTTGCCTAGCATCCCCTGGGCTCCATCCCCAGCACTGCATAAAACAGGGTGTGATGCCCAGAATTCCAGCGCTAAGGTGGCAGGACGACCAGAAGTTCCAGGTTGTTCTTGAGTACATAGGGAGTTCAAAGCTAGCCTGAGCTACAGCAGACCCTGAAGGAAGGGTGTGGAAAGAAGAGAGACCTGACAAGTGGCTGTGATCGTCGCCCAGGAGATTCTTGTCACTCCTAAATGTTCCGTATCTTTCCATCTGACTGACCTTCCTTCCTCTTTCCATTTGGAAAATTCCACTTACTTTTCAAAACATCTCAAATGTCATCTCTCCCATGCCATCTTGTCTGATGTTCCTCCTCCAGCCTTGTCCTCTGCCAAGGGAACTCTAATTCCTCAGACCTCTCTCACACCAGGATATTATACCATTCCATGTAGTGGGTATGAACTTTATAACTGTATAAATTCATGGAGACAATTGTATTTCCTTCGGTACTGTGACCTAGTGTTTTATTACTGTGTACAGTGACTCATAGCAGTCCCAGCACTTGCGGGTAAGGCAGGAGGATGGCAAGTTTGAATACACCCTAGGCTACATAACAGGAAAGCATCCCAAGCAAACTAATAGTAGAGTGAGGCTAGGAAGGTGTCTCAGTGGGGAACAGTGCTTGCTGGACCAACGTGAGGACCTAGGTTCAAATCCCCACCAGCCACATAAAAATCTGAGCATGGACATATGCTGGTTTATAACCCCAGTGCCATGGGAGGAAGTGGAGAGACAAAAGGCTGCCTGGTGGGCAGTCCAGCTCAGGCTTAGTGAGAGACCCTGTCATGAGAAAATACAGTATAATGTGACAAAGCAGAACACCCCACCACTCATGTCTCCCTTACCTCCACATGTCTGTGCGTGGGTACACATGCATGTATACCCATGCAACTGTATACATAAGCCTACACCACACACACATATACCACACACTCATATACACATACACACAAAACAGCAATTCACAATTTAGGTTTTTTTTTATTTTAAACAGTTATTCATCTCTTAAATAAGGAAAGCAAGAGATTCATCCACCTATCTACCACCTCTGGTACTCTCACTCCATTCTGTAGTTCTGAGTTTCAATCTAGAATCATCTTCCTTCATCCTGAAGAACACTTTAAGTTTAGCAACTCCAGGGCCTGGAGAAATGGTTCAGTGTTTAAGAGCAGTGTCTGCTTTTCTAGAGGACCCAGGTTCGATTCTCCCTCATGGCAGCTCACAACCATCTGCAACTCCAGTTCTGAGGGATCTGATATCCTTATACAGACACATGAAGGCAAAGTATCAATGCACATAAATTAAATAAATTATTTTTTTTTAAGTTTAGCAATTCTTACATCTCTCCTTAAACAAATATGCTGAACTTCTGGCTATTTTACTGTGGTTTTAATGGTATTTCTTATAAACAGCTTTATAAATTGTCAGAGGTTTCCCTCCACCCTTTACCATGTCTCTTTGTTTAGGTTTACTGTAGTGTGTGTGTGTGTGTGTGTGTGTGTGTGTGTGTGTGTGTGGTGTATGCAGGTACATGCACGCCATGGTATACGTGGAGGTCAAGGACAACGTGGGATCCAGGAATGGAACTCAGATCATCAGGTTTGCTTAACTAACACTTCTACCCAGTGAGACTTCTCACTGGCTCTCCACTTAGTGTTAAAGTTTGAGTCTATCTCAACAGAAAAGAACGTGAAGCAGTCGGTGACATCGTGACAGGAGACCAGGGAGCAAAGAGACTTAAACCCGATAAAAATCAGAACCTTCCAAGGTTCCCTTCTGCCTGCCAGGTCTCACCTTTTAGCATTCCACAAGCCTCAAAGCTGTACCGCCAACTGGGGACCAGTTATCCAAGGTAATGAGCCTCTGGGGGACACTGTAACAAAGCCGTCCCACTGTGTGCTAGCCCCACTGTCTCTGCCAAAGCTTACCATCCTCCTGGTTCTTTCTCTTATCTTCTTGTTCTAGCTGCTTCCTCCCCACTTTAGCCTTTCATTTTGAAATTAGTTATGTTTATTCTGTAGTTACAGAGTGCTAGGTTCCCTTCTGTCCTTCCCCAGCTTACCCTAATGCCCACATCCTGCATTGATTGCCAAATCAGAATTACCAAACAAAAGATTGTTGATTCAGTACTGTGAACCGATCCTGTCACAGAATGTGACCTGTGCTGCTTTTCCCAAGACCCCATTTCTGGTCCAGGCTCTCTGTTGTATTTAGTCACTGTGTCTCCCAACTCTCCTTCAACCTACTATATTTTCATAGTCATTCTTTTTAAACACCATCCCTGGTTGGGAAAGAATGGTGTCAAAGAAGCCGAGTACACCGGACAGTAGGCAGAGATGCAGACATTGCCTGAGCATCCTTCTCTAACAGCCGCTCACCCCAGCCCAGAACCCCGAGGGAGCAAGGGCAGTTCCTGGTTAAAATATTTCAGCCTGTGGTGTGCTTTCTAGATACCGATGGATAGACAGGGATATGCGCACACTATGAGCTCAGCTGGTCAGAGCCCATCCCCAGGATCCTGAGTTGAGGGGATACACCCAGTGTCAGGGTCTATGCAGTCGAGCTTGGGAGCTGCAGGTTTCCTGAACGCTGAGCCAGGGAAACCATTTTGAACAGAGTAAAGGAGAATGCAGGCCAAAGTCTAAACTCTTGCTCAGACAGCCTCAGGTGGAGACTAGTCATTCCGAGTTAAAGACCAGAAAGTGTCCAGGAAGTTGGTACAGGAAGTTGTGATTTTTTTTCTTTCTTTTTCTATCATTTACACGTATTTGAAAAGTCAAGGCCAGTTTCTTCATAGTTTGTCTTCTGTTTTCTCATAATTGGGTCATTTGGGGCAAAAATACCACAAAAAAAAAATGGTCAAAAAGATGTGCCTTCTTAGTATGTAACATTAGGAGTACAAGATCTTAACGTCTTATTACAAGGTAGAATTCAATGGCATAGTTATGGTCATGTATTTCTAGGTTTGTGCACTATAAAGCCACCATTTTTCTCTTTGTTATTAATCCAAATTTCATAAGAGGTACTTTAATTCTGTGTCTGAAGGCCTGAGTTCTGTCCCCAGGCCCCACATGGTACAAAGAGAACAGACTCCAGCAAGATAGCTTCTGACCTCCACACATGCCATCACGGAATGAGCCCTGGGGGCAGAAGAGGAGACATGGCACATGTACACACACATGTACACACACATGTACACACACAAATTAGTAAATAGACGAAGTGTAACTTAAAGAACGAAAGAGCCACTGATGGGTGTACAGTAAAATTAGGGGGGTTTCAGCTTCGCATCAGGCATTGCTACCCACTGAGCCATCTCTCCGTTTTCCATCCGTGTCTCCTAACTGCAGGGCTTTCGAATATGTATTTAACATGGCTTTCCAACTTCCTTCAAGCACTATTGATGAATATTCTACATAAAGAAGAGCTGTCCTGCTTCTATTTCTAAAATTAATTGATTCACATCACTACGAACTCACTTATTTTATTCCATAGGTTATGGTCTAATCCTTCATTATTCTGTCGTTCAGTTTCTCCCAGTTATTTTTTCCTTCCTGACTACTTTTACATTTTTTTTACTACCTCTCTGAATTTTTTTTTTAAAGCTACTTCACTCTATGGTGACTAGTATTTTCTTTTGCTTTTATCTGGTTGGGTTCTGGGGGAAATAGATCTATAACTGTTTTTTTCGATGGTACATATTAGAAGCTTTCAGCCGTTGTTTCTTCAAATAACTTCTCTCTTTTCCTATGGATGCTCCAAGTAACACTTTCAGGATTAAGTGATATCTTACACACTAGCGAGGCTCAGCTTTTGTTACAGTTTTCAGTGCTGGAGACGGACCCCAAAGTCCCAGAATTCCCTGGCAGCTGCTCTACCCCTGAGCACACCTCAGTTTCTTTTAGTCCATTCACTAATCATTGCTTGTCCTGTACACTAGTCTACCGATCTCTCCCTGTGACCTCTAACCCTTCTGCCTCTCAAAAGTCTCGTGAGCTTATCTGGGGGGAATTTTCATTTCAGACATTGTACATTTTTTTTAACTGTAGAATTTCCTGTTGGTTCCTTTCTGCTTTCAATTTCTCTCTTCAGGTT